CTTACTCGGTGCATCTCTCTCCGCCCAAACATGGATGCCGGGAGGCATGGACTCTACTGCCTCTGCTGCAGCGTGGTGGGTTATCGAGATCTGGTCTGGAGTTGAACCAGAAACAGCCCGAGAAACAGGGGCTCGCATTTGCCCCCATTTCCCGTGCTGTGTGACAGCGTGGGATCCATGGAGGCATTGGGGCATTAGATCTGGAGAGAGAGTGGGATTACGGGACCCTGGGTGCGGCGCCGGCGAGGGCCGTTGAACCGCCGACGCACTCCATGGTCCTCTCGGAATGCCTTCGCGGGACGTCGAGAATGTCGAATCGACGATAAATCATGCGCTAGCCAGTGGGGAGCTCTGGTCGGTATTGCGGGGGGAACGACTGGGGGGAGGCGACTGGGGGGCACCCCACTGAGAGGCTGCTGAGACTGCTTCCCACCATGCAGAGCGTTGCAGAGGGATGCACGTCCGGAATAATTTGATCTTCTCAGCCATGCAAGAAACCCCAGGTCGTTTCAATTGGTCCCAATCGCATCTCGGTGGGCCACTTGTCGGAACGACGACTCCGCATCGCCTGAAGAGAGTGGCGCCGCTGGACCGCCTCACGGCCCGCCATTCCCAAGCATCGGGCGGGAGCCGAAGGTGAGAGGGTCGAGAGACAAACCCACGCCCCGTGATTCGCTGCACAGGACGGCCCCGGCGGCCCTGGCGTTAGTGTTTTAGCGCGCCTGGCTTTAGCTTGTCCCCGGGATTTTTCCCATCCTGCCATTTTCCAGGTTGGTCAATTTTTGTAAGCTTGGAGGAGCCACGAGCCGCCGCTTGCTGGGCCTTGCTGGGTTTGCACGTTTGCTGGGAAAATGTTTACCTAAACCTCCATGCCTTAAAGCAAAGACATCTACACCTCTTCTCACCACCAGCTCTCGCTCCATCTTTTTCTTCGGTTCGCCGTTTCTCAAGTAGACCAATTGACTTTTGAGTTTTTATCTCCCAAACGCTTTTTAATTGCCAATCGTCTCAGATTTCCCGGGTCCTTGCTTCCTTCCAAGGGTCCTACATGAAAACGGTGGGGCGTCGGGAGATCTTCGGCTCACATATCAAATCATCAACCTCCGAGGCAAGCACCCGATTCTCCCGTGATGAGCACTTTCCTCTCGTTTCTTGTGCAGACGGCACAGGCTCCGAAAATGCCCACTTTCTCATGCTTTTCTCGCTTCCCGGGTGCTTGATTCGTCTTTTCCCCTTTGCCCAGACCATTATTTGCCTGGTTCAACCGGCCAGACGAGCCGGGAATTTTTGGCCACCGACATGATGCTATCGTCCCGGGATGTGATGCTGCACCACAACACACTCACCATTTTTCAGCTTTGGACTTTTGGCAGGCAAATGAAATCGCATAAAACTCAATTCAGCTTCTCCTTCAGATCCTTACTTCCAGCCCTGCCGGAACCCCTTTTTTGTCAGATTTTACAAAGTGCATCGAGCGGCTCCCAATGGCACTTGCCCCAAAACACCACCATGCGGTACTACTGATCCAACATCAACACACCCTCTCCCTCTCCCACTTTGATATTATCATGATTCCATAATCCATACCCCAGATTGCTTTCTGGGGTGGCACGTCCTCCCGCCGAGCAAACGCTATACCCAAATCTACCTCCAAATTCTCGGAGGACATCTAGCACACAACCTCCCATTATGGCATCGTGTCTTTTTCACCCCAAGTCACGCCCACTGCAAAAGTCAAGAGATGGAAGGAACCCCCATTAGGATGGTAAACAATTGTCTCATGAACCGAGTAATTTACTCTTGTCAAGTCGTAAAATCCACTCTTGGTCCACGACTCCAACGAGCTGCTTTCCAAGTTCATCTCTGGCTTCCACTGGGCCTTCCTTGGAAACAACAAGAACTTGCCCTCCCGTTGCGCAGAAATGGCATGCTCACGTTCATCCCACGCACGTAACGAACCGTCCGTCCGCTACGACCAGACTCATCCATAACCCCGCAATCATGCGTCACTGTTTGTCGGAGAAGGGTAGCATCAAGGTGGCCTCAGTAGGCTGTTACTGTTTTCAACCAGGTCCGTTTTGATAACATAAGCGGAAACTCTCTTCTCTTAAAACAGACGCCGTAACCGCTCATTCCGTTCTTTCTTACCTTGACCTTGAGAGAGCGAACGAGCCGAGGTTGTGAGTGACCATGATCACGATCAAGCCGTTTGTCTTATCTCAACCAGGAAGCTATCACCGGAAATGACATCTGCTTTAAGTTAACTGGGACTCCCAAGAGAGTCACAAGACCAAATCCTCCGTCCCGAGTAGTCCGTTAGTTTACCTTGCTCTGAAGAAGTCGGTTCATTCCGTCTGAACTTTCTCTCGGAAGCTCTCAGTCCCAACTTCGGTACCATCCACCACCTCATGCCGCACAATCTCTCACGGCTCGTCTCGAGAACTTTCTTATCAAACCTGCCTTACATGCACCGCTCATATTTTCATCCCGGGTCCGGTCCCGACGTCATGCCCGTGAATGTTGGTAGGAAGGCTGTGGCTGATGCAGCACCACCCACCCAACCTCGTCCTCTTCCATCATCCCCTCGAAAAAGTCCAAAAATAGAAGTTAGCCCATGGATAACAGTCTACCTAACACATGTGCTCAGTGGACTAGAATACACGCTAAACACAGACTAACGAAATAAACGGTCTGTTTCAAAAGATGAACCCATACGTCAGTTCACCCGTCTAGCTCATGAGAGAGGATACACCATGATACCATCACACCCAGCCACACATGACTTGCGGTTCGTGACAGACCTAGGCAATTTCCCAGTGCAGCTGTGGTACCTACCTACGCAAGCCCAAGGACGGTTGCGAGTGAGACCCCCACGCTTCCCGCCCTTCCAGTCAAACGAGTCAAAGAGATAAAGCGGGCTCGTGCGATGTGCATGTATCTATTTCTATGTGTCTTGTATGGCATGCGCCAGAACATTGACCACGTGCCCCGCCCGTTCATGTCCTTCCCCGCTTCTCTTGCTTTGGTTTCAATTGGATTGGATGTGAGATTGCCGGTGAGGATTGCCGGGCTGCTTGTTTGATTTATTGAGGTAACCGCGCGGTTTGATGTGACTCCGAGTCGTCATCCTTCCTCTGTTTCTCTTCGACTTCTGAAATCCTCGAATGGTGAGAAGAACGCTGATCAAGGGAAGTAGAGTGACCAGGGTCCTTCAGTCCGGTCTACTCTTCACACCCTATACCACACGTCTCTTGACTAAAATCGAGTCTGCTACCGTAGAAGCATGATCTTGTTTCTTATCCCACATAGCTTCCACCAGCCCGGGATGAACTTTATAGAGTCAACTTCAAAGGAATTCATCCAGGCACCCAGAATATCCATCCTACTAAATCCACAATCTTTTACCATAACTTGAAGCTTGAGCCCAAGATATCTACACATATTATGACAAAGGTTTCCAATCTTGACTGGAACAATATTTAGACTAGTGGTTCCGAGAATACTGTTTTGGAGTTATTCTTTGGAGAGAACTACATGTAGGTATCAAAAACTATACAAGAGAGTTCGACGGTAATGCGAGAATACCTGAGAAGGAGCCCAACAGCCAAAAGACAATAAGAACGAAGCCCAAGAGATTCAAATTTGAACTTTCATTGGAAATCAATTCACTCAACCTACACATCAACAATGCAGTGAGTTGCCTATAGACAAACACAACCATCAATACAACAACCCTGTACCTCAGGCTGTATAGTAGTAGTATATCGGGAGGGAGTATTTTGACCGAACAACAAAGAAGGTGGCTAGGTGATGATGAAACTATTTATGGCTTCCAAAAAAAGAAGAAAGAAATTTGCGAAAATCTCACCTACTACCACCCCCTCGGAGTGGTGGCCACAGGCAACGAAAATCCCCAACTGCCTGACTACCCTTCCAGAGGGGGTTTTCGGGGTGGTTGCGGTCGAAGAGATGCCCGAGCCGGAAGACTGTCAAAAGCTAAGTTGCGTCGAATCCCCCGTCCCGAACTTCTACCTTCACACCCAATACCATTGGACTACATACGATGGGCCCAACCGTGTTGGGGCTTCTGGTGCTAGGTTGTGTGTGGGAGGTTGTATAAGTGAGGCAATCAATCATTGGCTAATGGAGGGTTTGCTTCTGTTTTCTTTTTTCTCCTTCTTGCCTAAACATAAAAAACAGAGTCAAATCTAATCAACCATGTACGGCTCTCTCTAGTACTCATTAAATCTATTCGTAGGTAGTAGTCCTAACTGGCGTCTTATCTCTGCTTCATCATAGTATTTCATAAGAAGTCTAAATAACACAGTAAAACAACGTTATCAATTCACAGCGAGTTATATCGAACCAAGTTACCATATACATATATACATACATGTACCAAGACGCTGTCGAGTTTCATTCATCCATGCATCCATCTAAAATATCATTGACAAGACAACTTGACAAGTACGCGCGAATGAATAAGTCATCGCGGTGCCCAACAACACGTATCATCCACTTACATAAGAGCCGAAATCAGCAATAACAAAACAGCAAACTTGAAAAGAAAACCTTGAAAAGCATGCAAACAAGCAAGCAGAGCATATATACATACATACATACCTACCACACACACACACACACAATCAATAAAACCCAATTTTTCTTCTATAATTCATTCATTCCACAATCGTCAAAAAACAATTTAAAACGCGGCAGCATAATTTCATGTTATGGCTCAAGTGGATATCAATTATGAATGTGAACTTCCAGTGATTTCAAATATCTCAGGCTACATGTCAAAATATCTGTCAAAGGACGTATCGGAAGATAATGTGAAGCTCTAAAAGACATAAAGAATAAAACTTACAGCGTACGGTTTTCTAGGTAAAACTAACCCTAAAGAAAACAACGATGTTAAAAAATCAAACGAATGATTTGCAAATAAATACAAATGAGAAAAAAAGAAACACAAGAAAAAAGCAAAAGAGATAAGGTTGTGGACGAGCCCGGAATCGAACCGGGGACCTTCCGCATGCTTAATATTTTCAACGATAGAAGAAATTATGCTAAGCGGGCGCTCTACCAACTGAGCCACACGCCCTGAAGTACTTGATGTTGAGTGCCACAGTTGGTTGCTTGTTATCACAATTGTTTGCATCCTTCCCTCGGCGGACAAAGATGGGGTAAGTATAAATATATCCAAGAACGCCAAATTTTTGTTTCGATCTCTTACGAATGGTAGCTCACTGAATTATACATATTTCTCATTCCTCCAAAAACATACCCCAGAACATCCCAGATCACGCATAACCATTCTCGACTAACCACCCCTTAATTCCCTGGGCATCCCTCTCCCTGTACGATGCTCTGCCCCTGACCTTGTCCTTGACCTGCTCCAAAGTCCGGTCAAAGCCCTTGGTCTCAACACCGTCAAAGAATGTCTCAATATCCTTGAGACTCACAAAGTCCACAAACTTACCCAAGCTGACGTTGACCAGACGGTCAATCAAGATGGGGTTACCACCTAGCTTGACGTTGAGCTGGTCCCAGTTCTCCTTCAGGTAAGCCCACATAAGAGGTCTAGCCTTACGGTTGCCAGCAAGTCCGCCCCCAAGAATGTGCATGTCAGCACCCGGGACCGAATCAGCCGGCGCCGCAGGGGGCGAAGGGTTGAAGAGGAAGGGAAGAATCACATTCTTGATGATATCCTCATTGCTTGTGTGGCCAAGTGCCTGGAGGCAAATCTCCTTGCCGTCAATTGCGGGCGTGGTATACCACTCCTTTTTCAGCGCCGCCACAGCTTCCGCTGGGGCCTTTATGATAGCCGAGCGGTAGACGGGGGCACGCAGGTTCGCCGGAATTGGCGACTCGGTCGGGTTGGACTGGTAGGCAGACCACCGCTGGAAAGCAGCCTGACGGACCCTGTTGCAGTATTTAGGCATCATTTGAGAGATTAACTGGAGGAAGGGTAGACTTACTCTTCGTGAGAGTTGGAAACAGCCGTGAGGAGCAACCTCTTGCGCAGCAAAGTTGTGTTGAAATCCTCACCCTCCTTATCCTCCCAGCCCACCTGCTTGAGACCCTTCTCAATAAGCTCGAGAGTGAACTTCTCGAGACCAGCCTTGATTTGCTCATCACCTCCAAAGATCGACTTAAGAGTGTTCAGAGAGTCCAGAGCCTGACTCAGCACGCGGTAGTGGATCTCATTCTTAAGACCTTGAAGGAAAGACAACAAGGCAGCCGTAGTGCTATATCCAGCAAATGCAAGATCGGCAGCTGAGCCAATGATAAAGATCTTGTCCTCGGTGGTGAGGTGGTCGAGCTGAGTACCGAGAGTCTTCAAACGGGACTCAGGGTAGTTGACACGGTAGAAGCCGGTAGCACCAGCGTTGAGCTGGTAAAACTCATTGCTCACGCCATCAATCTTGGACTCCTTGCTTGTGAGAGCCAGGGGATCAATACCCTGAGAGCCAGTCTTGCCCTTGAGAGCAAGAGGAACCCACCAAGTGGTTTCGTCATCCTCGGGCTTCACATCTCCGGTCGAGAGAAAACGAGATTGCTTGACAGATATGCTCTGCGAGTCCTCGGTAACGGTCAAAACAGGGAAACCGATCTTCTCAATCCAGTTTTGCATCAGTGTATTGACATCAACACCCGACGCCTCGGTGAGAGCAGCCCACAAAGCCTGCGTCTTTGCGTTTCCGTACTGATGCTTCTTCAGGTAGATGGCAATACCCTTGAGGAAAGTCTTAATACCCAAATGGGATGCCAACATGCGGATCATGGAGCAACCCTTGAGGTAGCTAATCTTGTCGAAAATCTGGTTCACATCAAGAGCATCGCGCACCTCGACTTGAATGGGGTGGGAAGAGCGAACGGCATCCAACGTAAAAGCCTGGTCCATGCCCTCGTTGATGAATTGGGGCCACACATCCCACTCAGGGTGCAGGTGATCCGTTGCAAGCCAACCAGCCCAGGTAGCGAATCCCTCGTTGAGCCAGAGCTCATCCCACCAATCCATGGTGACAAGATTGCCAAACCACTGATGCGCGAGCTCGTGAGCGACGACGTAAGCGATTCTATTGCGGAATCTCTCCTCAGATAGCTTCTCATCGAAAAGAATAGCCGTCATACGGTATGTGACCAAACCCCAGTTCTCCATCGCACCGTGAGTGAACTCATGAACCGCAAGAATATCGCTCTTTGGCAAGGGATAGTCAATCTCGAACTGCTCAGAGAAGTAGTCAATGATCTTGGGCGCATGTTGCAAAGCCCATTGGCCCTGCTCCTTGAGGCCACGGGTGGTGTAAACGCGGACCGGGATCTTCTTGCCATTGTACTCGCGGTCGGTGAACGCCTCAATGTGCTCAAAATCACCAACAGCCCAAGCGAGCAGGTAGGTGCTCATGACAGGGCTGCGCTCGAACGAAACAAGCTTCTTGCCAGGGCCGGTCGCCTGTGTCTCCTTCACGGGCATGTTGGACAGAGCTACCTGGTCGTCAGGGATCTCAATGGCAAAGTCAAAGGTAGACTTGAGGTTGGGCTCATCGAAGCAGGGAAAAGCACGGCGGGCATCGCAAGACTCAAATTGGGTGCTGAGCATGTAGTGGAACTCGTCATCGTAGGGCACGCTGGCAGCCGGAGGGGCTGCAGGCTTGTACTGACTGCGGTAGAAGCCAGCCATATCATGGTTGAGCTGGCCAGTGAACTCAATGGTCAGGGAAGCCCTAGACGACACCGGCAGCTCCTGGGGGAACTTGATGGCGGCTCGTTGGGACTTGGTGTCCACGGAGAAATCGGTCGACCTCCATGTTTGATCGCTTTTGCTTTGGCTGACGACGATCTCGGCGCTGTGCAGATCGAGCTGGAGGGTATTCAGGACAATCTCGGCGGTCGGCTTGGCAAGTTCACCGTCAATTCTGAGCAGCAGCGATTTAGTACCAGCGGCTCTTCCCATTCCTTACAATCAATTTCAGCCCACGTACCGGACAGTGCCCTTGTAAGCCCAGGTCTTGAAGTCGAGATCCGTGATGACCAAGTCATAGTGGACTGGTTTGAAGTTATCGGGGAGAATGTCTCTGTCCGTCATGTTTGCTCTTCGTCTCTGATGTGAAGCGTGGGAACAAGTACGGCGGAAGATGGCAAAAGGAGTAGCTGCGGAGGAAGAGGAACGAATGGGGGTTCGGCGCGGGGTAGCTCTGTGCTTCGTCGGAGAGGTGATGATGGAAAGGGACGAGGAAAGGCGTGTGGCGGGGTTATGCAACGGTGCAACGGTCTTTAGGGGGAAGACGAAGTTTGGGCGGACGGATGGTTTAAGTAAACGTCCTCTACTGAGAACGGTGGAAGTTGATCTCAGCATTGAGAGAGAAACCTGAAAACAAGACCCCAAGTTCCTCTCCTTCAAGTCTTTTGGGACCGATAAGATGCAACCCCACCTGGCCTGGGCAAACAGCTGCGAGCCCACCGATTGCCTGGTGCCCCTCCTTCAATTGAAACGGGTTGATGACGGAAGGTGCGGGCACGCCAGCAACTGGAAGCTCGCCAGCGGCAGTTGGTTGATGCCGCCTCAATTCCCTGTCAAGCGATCTTATCTTGCAGCCTTTATAAGGGGAAGCACCGCGTCTAACCGCACTCAATTGCAAATAAAGTTTAACAAACAGGCAGGAGCAAGACAAAACAAGCAACCGGTGACTCGACGGAAGATCGACAAATCAGCTTCCGGATCAGGGATGGAAGCTCGATCGAAGCACCAATTGCGATGGATGGTGGGGTTCATTCAGGTGAGGGGTCACCCATCCCAGTAGGGCAACTGGATCATGGATGCCGACTCCCGAGACTCGTTCTGTAATATAACTGTGTTTATTTGCAGAAACAATGGCGGGGTCTCTACAGTCGTATAACAGGTCGTAGATGCATTAGAGACAGCCGGTCCTCCCGCAACAGCTTCATTCAGATCTTTACACCAATGCAGGGCGCAATGGCAGACGAGGCGATTCAGCAAGGGTCTCTCAGCTAAGGTAAACTCGTAAGCTTCACTCCTAGATAAATAAAACACACCTTCCTGTCTTGATGCCACCCACGAAAAGCCAAGGACGCCGTATATATCCCGTCAGTTAACGCCCATCAAGTGTACCACAATGTTAGAGACGCCTTATACTCCAGTATACTCCCAACTTATAAGTGTTTATTTCTCTTGAGTTTTAAGACAGTCAGGACGCCACCCTTTATTGCCCGGCTTCTATATTAAAGCCCGCAGAGCCTTAATATCAGTTTTGAAGTATAGTAATTATCTCAAACCCAATAGCTTGAACGCATTTCTTCCCCCGACCGCGTGATAATTATCTCCTTTAAATAATGAAATATAATATCGAAGACGCCTCGCGTTGCATTTCAGCGTACGCCCAACTAACGAGTCTCCTGAAGAAGGCCTTCACTAGAGCGTTTTTGACCAGAGGCAATAGGAACCCTGAGGTGGAGGGTGAGCTCAGGAGACGTCGTTTACGTTATCCATTACGTTCACATTATTAAGACGACAAGCTAAATGTGACCTTCATTGAACGGATTCAATTCCCTGTCTCTGATGCCAAGAAGGGAACGATGAAGGAAAAAAAGTCAAATAACTCTCAAACAGTCCACCGCTATTATTATTGCCATAGCCGCTACCATCATGATGATGAAGAAAAAATGACGAAGAATACCCATGTTTACCAAGAAGAAACCGAAGCAAAGCAAGCAAGAGGATTGCCGAGCGTCGATATCTCCAAAGAAACCGACAATGACTCGGCGATGAAGACCCATCTGCTTCTCAAATGCCATTTCCTTGGCCAAAGACCCGACCCAAATGTCACCCTAAACGCCTAAACGAATGCCATGCGTGCATGCATAAAACCTGTGTTTTGAACCACAATCCATACACGGTCACTCCACCCCCAACGCGCTCATTCATCCCCTCAATGCAACTCGGCAAGCAAAAATGTGCCAAATGCAGCTCAGGACGGGTGGCTGATGCAAAGCAAAGGAAAAAGAATAATAGAGAACAGATGAAAAGGAGACCCATATCCGTATGCTCGCCCAATGCACAACAGTAAGGGGATTGAACAA